GGGTTTTTTTAAAGGTGCAGTACCCCGAATGTCCTTTCCTATTGCGCTTCTGGGTTCATTTCACTGTAATTGAATACACTTTTAGTTACTGAAGTAACTCTACCTCATCTTGGTCACTTAAACTTTGCCTTCCCCATAGTTCTGCCACCACGCTTTCCTCATAATAGCTTGCTCTTAGCTAACTCAGGAATTCAACTATAACTTCCATGCAAATGACTCTTTGGTCTACAACTTTGGATCTGTCCCCTCCTTTGACTCATTTCTAACTGCTCATTTAATAATCACTTCTGCATGGATCTCACCTAAGCACCTTAACTGTAAAAGGGCCAGTTGAAATAATATCTTCAATGGATATTGTAAACTGTAACCCACTGAATACATGGTTATTGTTAATGTAGCCAAATTTAAACCTGCTTTTCCTCTTGCCATGGTGAAAGGTGGTACCTCCCACCAAATCATTCATATTTGAAACCCAAGAACCATTTTTCACTTTTGATTCTCCCTTTTCCCCTCTTTCAATTAGTTATCAAGTCTTCTCATTCAGTATCTCTTTCTTTCCATCTCTACTGCCAACGCCCTAGATCAGAGAACAGTCAACCTTTACCTACACTTCCAAAGGAGATGCTTCTATTATCACCCAAAGAAAGCCTTTCCTCAAATGCTCTCTCCAACTCAAAAGCTCTTCTCTGATATATATACCTTTAAAAAAAAACTCAAAATATCTGCTGGATTAAACTCAGCTCCCCACTTGAAGTCTAATAGGCATCTCAAATGTAACTTGTCACAGAGTAATAACATTGCTCACTCCACAACCTGTTCATCTTCCACTTTCCTCATCTCCATCCTTCCGTGCTTTACCCTCTAAATATCTCTAGTATACCAACACTTCTTCCTCCTCCACCATCACTACCTGGACCATGCCAATACATCTCCCATCTGGAGATTTATAATAACCTCCCTGCACAACAGTTTATTCTCAACACAACAGCCAGAGAGATCTTTTCAGGTTGTACCCAGGTAATGGCATACCCTATTCAGCACTCACCAGCTTCTTCCCATCTAACTCAAGTTAAAAGCAGGTTCTTCCAAGACCCACAAGGTCTGATGCTACGTGCTCCTGTCCACCTCTCCAGGATCATATCTACCACACTTCACTCACTCTCCTCCTGCCAAATGGCCTCGCTGCTCATGCTCAAGCCTCTTCCTTCTCCCCATGCCCTTCAACCAGCCTAGAATACTCTTCACTTAAACATCTACATGGCTTCTCTCTAGCTTCCAGTCAACTGCAGAAATGTACTTAGCCTCTCTTCCAGGCTTACCTATCCCTACCCTCTTTTCTACATAGCATTTACTATCACCTGAGATGTATAGTTATTTACATTTCACCTGCTTTTCCCTGTAAGATTATAAAGTAGGAATTATATCTGATTTGTTTGCTGATACTAAAAATGAAGGCCAATCCATGCTAATTGATTCATAAATGTGTTAATGATATTATAGCTCAAGCACTAGAGCAACTGCAAGAAAGATAGGACAGTGCTGATATGGAACAGATTGGAAGACTTTCTCCAAGTGGGAGACTATTACCTAGAGAATAATGCTCTAATGCTTTATTTATATTTCTTTCATGGTAGTTAACACTCAGCTTCATGTTATACAGTATGTGTTCATGCATCCTTAGCTTATCTCCCTCACAAGCTATATGCTGCCTTTAAGGAAAACACACTGACACAGCACAAGGCATGTAGGATACATTCATTTAATATCTGTGGTAAGAATGAGGTAAGTGTTATCATGTTTAATTAATCAAAATACACTAAATTTGAAATGCTTCTAATTTTTTTTGAGAAAGCATTAGTGCTCTCCAAAGTTTTATTAAGGATTAAAGAATAAGTTACATACATATGAGTGCACTTGTGAAAATACATTAATCTATCTATGTAATATGTATTTCAGTAGGTATGTGTTATGGTGTGGATCTTGAATGTTGCCCTAAATAGCTCATGTTGGGTAACGCAGCAATGTTCAGAGGTGAAAAGATCAGATCATAAGAGCTGTAACCCCATCAGTGAGTTAATCCATTTGATTGACTAATAATTCAAATTGACTACTGGCATGGCTAGAGGGACAAGCCACCTTCCCTGGGGTTGTGGCTTTGGGGACTGTACCTGTTCCTGGCCCCTTCCTCTCTTTCTGTTTCCAAGGCTGTCATGAGTTGAACAGCTTTCCTCCACTTTGTCTTCTACCATGATGTTCTGCCTCACCTCAGGCAAGATTTCTGAAACCATAAGCCCCAAACAAACTTTTGTTCCTCTAAGTCATTCTTGTCAGGTATTTTGGTCACAGTAATGAAAACCTAATGCAGTAGGACCACACATAAAACTGATTTGTGTGAATTTGAGAATATAAATTCACTTTAGTCACAAATAGAAAGGACACTATTTGACCGAGCACAACTACAAACTCACTAAGACAGAAAAAAAATGTTCAGAACCAAAGCATGAAGGAAATCTGGAAACCCAATACATGAAGTTAAATACACTGTAGGACAAAAATGGAAATGTTAATTCATACTTTATCATTTAGGGGAGGAAGGCTGGATAGTGCAATCTGACACACAGTAAGCCCTCAGGACCTCCCAAGGCTACTGTCTCTTTACTCTCATTCTCCTGCGCTGCAAACATTAACATGCATCTTCCTGTATAGTGTGCTCATCCAGGCTAAGGCTGCATCCTTCCTGCCCTGTACACCCTGTACCAAGCAGAGTATGGCACCCAGGACATCCTCAATAGGAACACGGTGACAAAACATGGTCTGGAGTAGACAAGTTTCTAGAAAGGCAGAAATGTGAGCACAATTTGTTCCCTAAGGTTATCAAGTTACCCACATAAAGCTAAGCATACTCCATAGGAGGCACATGAATCAGACAAGAGGGGAGGACTCCAGCCCAGCTTTCACCCACCATTCATGCAGCAGTTCACTTTTCTAAACCTCAGTTCCTTATCTGGTAAGGCGATTGTTATGATAACTGGATAAGTCTGTGCTGGTTGCATTTTTAAAAGCTACCTGGGTGCTACATACCAATTCTTATTAAAGCAAATACGATTGCATGGGATCTCCTAAAAGCTAACTCATCAAGCCATTTCAAATGAGAGAAGTCAGCCCAAACCACACTGATAAAATCTATTACTTTCAGAGGACAGGAACTCTCAGTCAGATCATGAAACTTTCCGTCCTTATTAGCATTCACTGCATAATTACTAAACTTCTGAGGGCTTACCATGTGCCAGCAACACTGCCAAGCAGTCTCTGTGGATTATTATCTCACGGGGCAAAGCCCTAGTCTGGTTCTACCACTCATAAGTCTACATCCCTGGGAAAGTTGCAATCACTGTTTCTCCTTCTCCCATGTCTTTATAATGCAGATAACAACTACCTGTCTACCTCAAAGAACTGAAAAAAGCACCAGAGGTAGCATTAGGAAAACAATAAAGGACTACACATATCTAGTCTGTTTTATTGAACAAAGGACTATTCACTGGTAAGACAATCATAATTCTCTCATAATTCATCTACCTGCTACAGTTGTATTTCCTTATTTGGAAAGGCTCCAATTTACAACTGCACTTGGATTTTTTTCAAAACAAATACAGGTGTAACATCTTGCCTTTTTCAGTTACATAGAAAAACTATATATGTGTACATGTTACATATGTGCATGAGCATTAATACATAATAGCATTTAAGGGGAAGACAGAAAGAAAAGAAAAAGTTTAAGTAAGAAAGTATCAATCATGAAACAAAATCACTCAAAGTATGATTCTCTTCTCTTACTACTCAAATTGCCTAAGATGCCCCTGGCATTTTATGGCTAGTGTTAAGGCATGTTATTTTAAAACCAATTTCAGAAAACTTATAGATGAATATATAAGAAGTAAGAGATCAAAAAGAATGAATATGAATAAAATTTTCCTGAATATAAAATCACTAATAGCTTTATAGAACAAATAGAAATTCCAAATAGAAATTCCAAAATACCAAGTTAGGGATTCCCAACTGTCAGAGGGAGCTATGAAAATACTTATTATGTACCTCTAAATGTATTTGTATTAGGTGCTATAGAAATCCTGTGGGGGGGGGGGGGAAGCTAAAACCCATGTAAGTCTTTGAAATGACCATAAACTAGAATACAACAACATAATGGACATTTTTAATTTATACGTTTATCATGTAAATCACAGTATCACTACAGATATTTGAGTCAGAAAATTATTTGTTACAGAGTGCTATCCTGCATATGGCAGACCATTTAGTAGCATCCCTGGCTACAAAGGCATCAAATTCTAAAAGCATGCACCCACCTACAGTGTGTGTGACAATGAAAAGTGTCTCCTGACATTAACAAGATATCCTCTGGGGTGAAAACAAATCTCCAGAAAGTAACCCACATGAGCATTATTTTCCCTTCCTTTCTGCTGTCTTATGTCTACAGAATCTTCTGGTCAGATCTTGAAATAAAGAAGAATCTGTTGTTGTTGACTACAACTTCACCTTAAATCAGTGTTTATTTCCTAGGAGATTCAATGGTTTAATCACATTACAAGATTATTTCCATATATCCTTATAACAAATTTTTATCTGTCATTAACAACTTATGCCAAAAGGCATAATTTTCACCATATTTTCAAATTTCATAGAATGAGACCAATATAAATGCATGCAACAAAAAAAGCACACACAAGACATGACAGCCACATATAAAGCATCTCACTAAAAATATACTGACAGGTGTTAGTGTTAAATGCCAACTAAAAGGCAAGCTACAGGACTGGAGGTGTGGCTCAGTGACAAAGCGTTTATTTAACATGCACAAGGCCCTGGGTTCAATCCCCAGCAAAAACAAACAACCAAAAAAAAAAAAAAAAGCAAGCCAGAATTGAATTGCCTAAGAACTCGAAATACATTGCCTACTTCTCTTTAAATAGGTCCTAACCAAATAGAAAAGAAAAGCATTTACATTATAGGCAATTAGTTTTCAATTACAGGATGTTGAATAATAATAATGCTTTTCTAGGTAAATACAACTGGTTTAACATTGTACATATGTTCAGAGAAAGATCATTGAGCATAAACATGAAACATGTTGTAGATTAAAAGCCTACATGTAATCTATTTGAATTTCCATTGTATTTTCATTGCAGAGAACAACTCAAGGAAAGCATTGCTGATAAAAAAAAAATAATAATAATGATTAAAAAAAAAATCCTATATGTCAGATTTTACTTCAACTGGTCTAAAACACCCTTGAGTTTTCTAAAGACACATTATTTCCCATTATTAGACAAGTCATGCACTATTCATCAGTCTCAATTTACAGATTATCTTGCTTTTTTATGTGTAGCCTTCTTGGCACTAAACTGCATACGGACCAGCCTTTAAAACAAACACTGTCCTAGCCAAACAATAATCTTGGAATTGTCTACAGGAAGCATTTGCTGCTGCTAGCTATAGTTCACAAAAATCCTATTTGTTGTTTATTTTTGGTGCTGGGGATCAAATTCAGGGCCATATCCATGCTAGGAATGCATTCTACCACTGAGTTCTACCCTCAGTCAAAGGTTTCCTTTTAGCCACATAACATTCCCTACACTAAGGAGGAACATGTAGTCAGTGAGGTAGTTAGGTATGTTTACTTGCCCACCAATTATTTGAATTCTGGGTATTTGTAACCCCTTCCAGAAAAATAACTCTTCCTGAGACTTCCTTATGTTATAATATCATATGTAATTTACAAATGAAAATTCTTTCTGAAAGTTATTGAAAATTCTTGAAGCTGCAAAGAGATTTTTAATCAAGTGAAAATAGCTTTCCCACGATGAACTGGGAAGAGCAGATGCTTAAGTGTCATGCTGAAGACTGTGGTTCACTCTCACAGATAAAAACGTTTTTGAGCACATAAGGATCTGGATAGGGGATAACCTGTTTTACATGGCACATGAAAACATACTGAGATCCTGATTTTTTAAATCAGTGGCTAAGAAGTACTTATAATAAGCTGAAGCTTAAAGAAATGGTAATCGTGGTAGCGTAACAAGATTTATGGACTATCAAAATTCTCAAAAGTAGCAATTCTTAGACATGAAATAAATCCTGGTAGGAGAAGACATTTTTCATATTAAACTATCTGACATCCTTAAATTTTATTCCTCTTGCTCCAAAACTAGTAACAATAAGTTACAGAAAGTTTGGTGGAAAATATAAGATATAACCATCTGGTGATTTTGTACTAAGAATGAATGACTTACTTTTAAGTTTCAGTTATTTTAGAAATAGAAAAAAAATCTGGAAAGTTAGTTTTATAATATGTTATCATGTCTACCAAATAAGTAGAATTAAACATCAGTGGACAAAAACCGAGAATTAGTTTTAAATACAGTCTTTGGAAAAATAATTGAAAACTATCAAAGTTTTAGTTTTTGCAATTTTGGAAGTCCAGTTTTACACTATACATAGCCATGTTATAACTCTCTACCCTGATCAGGAATCTTGAACATATTTCTATATACTCTAATGGATGATCAATGCCACTCAACTTCTCCACTAACAAAGCTTCCCGTGAGCTGAGTATATGAATTATGGCAATTGCAGGCATTCTAATCTTGAGTACATACTATATTTTTCCATCACAGACTTTCTAAAATGTAGTTGTTTGAGTTTCAACAACTAGAAATCAGAAACTTAGTTTATATGGCAATCAAATACCAAAATGATCTTAGACAAATGTTCTTATTACTTTTGAGCAACTCACTAAATTTGAAAAACAGAAAAGAAGATGGAGCTAATTTTAAATTTTTCAATACAACAGATATTACACTGTTGAGTACAGCACTTCATGCAATAGGCGCTCAGACACAGAAATATTACCATTAGGTTGCAAAGTTAATTTTTAAAAACTTCCCATTTTAAAATCTCATGCACTGCATACAACACCCCCATTTAGTGACATGACAGGACAGAAATGCAATGGTAAATTACAAACAACAAGCAATATGCACAGATTTATTTTTAATGTGAACCACAAAACTTACCCATTCTCACCATAAATCTTTTGAAAGAGTCTAAGAAACCAGAAAACCAAAAATTAAAAAAAGAGTAACTTTTGCCAATTCTTGTTAGTTTCTAATTGTTTAACAACTTTAACAAGTCTAACTGAAGACGGGCAAATCTCAAAAGGCTGCTTCCTCAGCAATATTCTTGATCATGTACCAAGTTCTCATCAATCTCATATCTCAAGAAGCTAAGATTAAGCAAAATAAAGGCTTAACTTACTAAGCAAACAAATCCATAGGAAAAGGCCTCCATTGCCAGGAGCTGACAAGTTAGATTTAGTCTACTAATTTAACTAAGCCTAATCAGATTTGTCCATCCCTAAATTCAACAAACAACAATTCAAAAAACAAACAAGTTGCCTAACACATAGATTATTACCAAAATGGCCACAACTGCATACATGTAAAATTCAGCAGACAGTAGATAACATTCATGCATTTTAACAAAGTTTGAACTGAAGTTTAAGTTATAAATAAAAATATCACAAACTGATAGTCCAAGAAACCTAGGTCAAAAGCAAAAGTCAAGTTAAATGAAATTTGCAATGCCATATTTTAAGGGAAATCTTTACTTCAAAAAGGCAGACATTCCAAAATATGAGAAACATATAGAACCAAATGACACTAGACTACTACAGAAATGCCTGGACATGGAAATAAAAGTCTGTAAATATAACTGGAAAACATTTTTAAGAAACTTCATATTGCAGAGTACCACAGACTTATAGCTGAAGGTAAGATGTATGTATACACCTTCTTAAATATGCCTAAGAGATGTGCAAATATGGAATTGCACTTTTTCTACAAAATGACAAGTTTCTTAGAGCAAAATATATATATATATATATTTAACACAACGCTTCAAAATAGCACACATCATGCAAGGTTGAACAATCTGATGCTGTTTTGTACAAAAAAAGTTACACAAGACCAACCATTACAAGCCAAATCCTTGCAGAAACACACTCTGACCTCTCAACCATCAGTCGTTTCTTGTGCCTAAGTCGGCTAGCCTCCCGGATGGCCTCCCACTTCTGTAAGTCAGCCTCACTGCAGGGGCCAGGGGTAAAACTTATGGGAGGCACTGTAGTTCCCAGTTTCCAAGACTGGATCTTCCGAATCAACATGTCGTCTTTCTTCTGCCGATATGAAGGAACTAATATTCTACAGCTACTACTTTTTTCTTTTGATGGGCACGTCCTTTCAAGTACACAGAGAAATTTTGCTTGAATTTCTGGAGGCAGAGTCCAGGGTTCAGGAAAAGGGACTGGCTGGTATCTATCTGGGGCCCCAGACAGAGGCACTTCTTTCTTCTGTGCTGGAATTCGGCGAACAATCATGTCATCTTTTTCTAAATCTGGAAGTACAAGTTCACCTTCTCTACACTGCAAAATTATATCTCGCTCCACAGAATCATCTTGCTCAGAGAACCTTCCAAAGTCTTCAAAAGCTCGGAGAACATATGGATTCGCATGGAAAGCTCCAGTCTTTCTCACAAAGAAATCATCATTTTCTAAGTCGGGATCCAGAGTTGGCATCTCAAAGTCATCTCCCCTATAGCCTGGTGCATGAGAGAGATTCTTTCTGCGGGTTATGAGCCTTGGGCCAGAAGTGGGATCAATTCTGATATTTGTTTCAGAAGACAAGATGTCATCAGAGTATGTTTGGAGGGCCTGAAGTAATAAAAACTGACTGAAGCACAGAAAAGAAAAAGGAAGGGAGAAGCTTATTAAGTTTGAAGAGAAAAGGTAATTAGGTAGTAGAGAGTTTCCATGGGTGAATTATTTTAGGGACTGGGGAGGGACTCTTGCAAAGAAGACAGACTAGCATTTAATGCCATCACTCATGACATTCCTGGGTACCATTTAAAGAAACAAGAGCAGGGTATACTTCCCTGCTGGGCACTATCAAGGCCAGGTGATGGGCCTAGGCCTAAAACTCAGATTGGGTACACCTTACACACACACACACACACACACACACACACACACACACACAACTCCTTTGTGTCCAATTCTTCATTCTATTAGAATGGCCTAATATTCTCACTAGAGAAGAGAGAATAACTTTGGAAAGTTTCAAGAGTTGGTCACCATGTACTTTATGCAATAGATACAGGTAAGAATGAAAAGAAAAAATTACTTGCTCTTAAGTTTTATAAAAGAACATGATGAATTTTTTTTTTCATTCTCCCATAAGACTTACCCTTCCCAGTCTCTAAAGTTATTTCCTTTCTCCACATCTCCATACACAGCACAACTGTAAAATTAGGTAATCTTTTGGAAAGCCTTTTTGGAATGGCTTTCCAAAAGAACTATGTCACATGTAAATAATATACTCTCTGAAACATTATTGTGCTAATAAAGAACATTAAATCCTACAGATTTCCAAGCTTACATGCTCACACAGAAAGCAATATGTTATAGGTTATGCTTTTGTACTAAATATATTAAGTTTCCAAGATTGAGCATAGTCAGGTCCCAGGTTAATGTAGCAGAAGTAGGCAGCAGCAGGTATCTGATGCCAGATCCCCAAGCAGACTCAGGCAGACAGCTGCACCTGGGCTCCTCTGAGACTCCACTGCTTTTCCTCGCTGTGTGTGTGTCCCGTGATTTTATGGCCTGTTGAGTAGCTAGTTCCAGCAAGAGTGAAGATCTCTGGCAGTTGCCATCTAGCCTACACTGTTCTCTCTGTATTCTACTAAAAATGGTTGAACCCGAGTCCTCATCCTCAGAGTCTGAATTCCTTCTATTGTAAAGTGACATGGAGAAAAGAAGGAGGGAGAGAAGAAAAGAATTGACTACTGAAATTAATGTCAAGCTATGACTACATACAGGAAAGCTTTTTAAGATCCAGATTCTAAAGTTTAAATTTGAACACATGTTTTCAATTTTAGAAGTTCTACAGATGTTAGAGGGAAAATTAGACTTTCTCCATCTCACACACAAAAAAAAAAATGCACAAAGAATGCACAGGTCAGGGTAAGGAATGAACACTGGAAGGACAGAAACACGCATAAAGACAAACCTGAATCCCTGAAATTCTTTATACCACGGTTTAGAGGTTTCCCTTTTTATTCTTTTCCAGTTCACATCTTCTGGAATCCAGCATTTGGGAAGAAACTGATCAAAAGAATTCCCTGGATTTGGCATGACTTGAGTTAGCTTTCGCACATACAGATCATCCTTGACAATGTTGGGTAACCTTGTTGGTTTTTCTTCTTCCTCTTCCAAGTAATGAGAGGAATTTGAAGGTTCTCGGACTGTTGCCCAATTCTCTGCATTGGTGCTCCCAGTTCTCCTCTGGTTACTGTTCAAAACATCCAACCAGGTTAAGATACTGCATGAGCAATCTGAACCAGAGCACATAAGGCACGCATTCCACCTCACAGTTTACAGCAGTGTAAAGAAAGCAAAGTAACTCCCACTGTTGTCACCACAGTTCCTAGAACAAAGTTAAGGTGCCATCTCATCCTAGTTAGAGAACAGCCAGATACACATGGCTAAGGACACTTAATTAGAAGCTGTGTTAAAAGAAAGACAAATTGCAGTTTGGAATGACTTTCTGAATTAAATCAATGGCATGACAGATATCCAGATCCAGGACAAATACATTTCTGACCTTGTCAGTGTGTGTAGCCCATAGGCTAATGTATCAGGAGAAAATATTTGCGGACCAGAGTGGAGAGAGGTGGTTTTAGAAATGAAACTCGGGGGCCTCTTTTTCACTTGGAATCTGCGGTTGGCTAAGTCATCCAAAATCACGTCAGGCAACCTTCGTTCATCCTCAGTATCTGAACCACTTTCAGAACCACACGCCTCCTTACAGGAAGCTGGATATGAAAAATCACACTCTGCTCTGCTAATTTGATGGGGAAATAAAGGATTCTTTTCATGTCCACTAAGATCAACAAAAAAATGGAAGAAAACACGGCAGCTCACAATGAACAATATTAGTCATCCAGTGCATTGAAAATACCAATAAACTAAAAGCACACACCTAAACAAGACCTAGCAGATCATATGCTGACACATGTTAACAGAACAAATATCTTCAAGATATAGATGACTAAAAACAGGTATAAAAAATTCTCATTAGTGAAATTCATTATCTCTGAAATACATTTTAAGAACCATTCTTAAATACCACTCAAATTCACAAAGCTTAAAGAACTCCACCATCACATCACATTCCAGTACCTTGAAAATGTCCCATCTGCCTCTGTGTAGACGGGGCTTGCCCAGCTTCTTCTGTTATCCTCATTTTTGTCTGGCTTTTTCTTCCTCAGCGGTGCTGGCACATAGGATGGCTGTCTACTTTTGTTGGGTAAAAAACGATTGAATGGTAAAGCAGATTTTGGTTCAATAGCTGAAATCCTTCGATAGGACATATCATCTTTGTTAAAATCCTGCATTTTGAATGTAAATTCCAAATCTGTGTCACTTTCGCAACCTATAAAACAAAGCACAAGAATTTGTTTTATTCTTTAGATTATTCACTTTATTAAAACCTCTCAGCCTGTCTGCTCTATCTTTCCCTTGGAAACCCAGTGCTGCTACTGCGAACTGTGGGGAATATTTTTAGAAATTGTCATGAAGTTGTGATAAGATCCATTAGGAGGAACTTGCTTTGCATACTGAAGGCACATGCAGTACACTCTTCTGCTGTCGCACATTCTAAGCAGAAAAAGTCCCTATTCACTGCTGAGCCCCTCCTTCCCAATCATCTTTGCCTCCAGGATCTTTCATCAAATTTGTCGAAGTAATACATGTGAATAAAACCTAGCAGGAAAGTTGCAGGTGCTTAAAATGAGATACAAAAGAAATTCTAGGGAAACTAATTTAAAATTAAAGCACGCATCTTTCCAATGTATGTGAGGAGAGAAAAGGGGAGCAGGAATAGAAGTAAAAATACACAAGATAGTGAAGGAGCATGACGAATCCCTATGAGACCCCTATGAATACAAGAGAGGATGGACTGGGTGACATGTCTAAAGTCCCCAAAGAATCTCAGGTCATATGCAAATGAGAGCACAGAACTTATGCTACTTCTTGTGACCATGAAAATTACAGTGGGAGTCTCCTATTTTCTTCAAAATTATTTAAAAAGAAACTTAGAAGGATACCCTTTAATACACCTCAAGTTCAGATAAATACAAATAGTAATATACCTTCTTTTAAAAAGAACATAAACCTGCTCTTTTAAAAGCACAGGGAAAAAAAAAGAGAGAGGATAGAACAGTACAGATTCAGAAGTCTCTTTCCTGCCTTCTTTTCATTCTGCCTGGAGAACATTTGTAAAGATGGTTTTCAAGTGTTGCTTCCCACCAGGGTCCCTCCCAAAACTGGCTAAGCACAGCACCCATATCTCCAGGCTCGGCCATGCACAGCAGCAGAGGTTAGCCAAAGCTAAAGGCAGTCTACTCTCCTCTCCCTGCCCAGCAGAAATCTACAGTGAATAACTCTGAGAATAGTCCACAGGAAATGGTTACAGCTGTGACAAAGTCACAGGGTAAGGGAAATGAAAAGGAAGAATGCAAGGCAGCTATGCCCAAGAGGGTCAGCCAATAATCTGATGCTTTTTTACTACTTCCTTTAAGAAAAAAAAAAAGGGGCTGGGGATGTGGCTCAAGCGGTAGCGTGCTCGCCTGGCATGCGTGCAGCCCGGGTTCGATCCTCAGCACCACATACAAAATAAAGATGTTGTGTCCGCCGATAACTAAAAAATAAATATTAAATAAATAAAAAAATAATAATTGAAAAAAAAAGACATTTCTCTCATTTTAAAAATGTGTGCCAATGAATCCTACTAAAATATACATGTGAAAATTTAAAATCACAGGCTCTTCTACTTCTGAATTTTTTAAGTTAAAATCTTTTTTTAGCTCAGTTCAGTGTTCTTCAGAATTTTCATTTGCCTAAATATCATCTTGATGTAAGTTTTCATACAAAACTAGGAAATTTTACTTTGCAATTCTTATCCTAAAAATATCCCAAATTTTGGTGACCATCAACTACAATCTGGTGGGTAGCAGAATTTTAATAAACCAATCTCAGAAATGGTTTCTTATCTTGGTACTCCCTCCAAGCTCTATAAGCAAGGTTTGTCTGCAACACATTTCAGCAATAGGGAAGGTGACTGCAGACCTCTGCTTTTGGTTACACACACCTGACTAAAGAAAAGGACCTAGATCCTACACTAGTGCCCACACCACACTATAAGGACTGAAGTCTGGATATGCCCACAAGCCCCTTTTATTCTTCACTGACCAGATGCAAATTTAAATACTGCGTTTTGCAGGTTTTTCAGTCATGACAAAGTAATCTAGTGGGTTGAAAATTTTAGCCTCAGCATTTATAATTTTAATCATTCAGATGCATTATAAACTTCAATTTATTTCCTTAAAGGTATTATAATCATCATCTGGGTTATAAAAAATGTCACACCTAGACAGCAAACGGCCAACAATGCACTAATAATTATAAATGTTAACTGCTTAAATAGCCACTCACATTTTTTAAATACTACTTACTACTACTACTATTACCATTACCACAACTCCTTTAAGTGCTAAAGAATTTAGTTTTGTTCCCATGCTTAATTTTTGAAAAACAAATTCATTTGATGTAGAGTTGGAAAGTTTTCATAATAAAATCTTAGAAAAAACATTTACAATATAAAATAATATTCATAACAAACAAGCAAAGTGAAATCCCTAACAACTGAGCATAAATTCCCAGACAGAATTCAACCCTTCATCATCATGATGGTGGAAGCACAAAAATATCTTAAAAGAAAAAAAAAATGTTGGTGCAGTATTGGAGATTGAATCTAGAGCCTCAGCACTGAGATTCATTTTCCCAGCATTTCAAGAAATTTTACTTGTAGTTTCCAGTAGTCAATTCAGAGTAGCTAAGTATTTAGTCAGAAAATTGCTGACACTAACTAGTAGCCACAGGAATAAGACATGCATTTAAATAACTGATTTGACCATAAGCTTAGAATTTTGCAAGAAGGTCCCTCCCACAACAGAAAGATTGCATTACCACTGCTCCTTTTATGCCTTCTCTGTCCTGGGTTAGCTCTGACCCTGACATGACTAAGAGATAGATATTCTCTCCCACCACATTAGGTACTCTAAACAGGAGCCTAAAAATCTATCGAAATATAATTATTAAAATAGTTCTGTTTTTTCCTTGAGTTTTTAATCCTTTCTAGTAAAGTAAAAGAAAGAAAGAAAATTACTCAGCAATGAAACCAGACTTTTTTGCAGAATCTTATTTATATTCTTCTTTTATGTTTAACTATATTATATCAGCTGATAGGCCTCATATTATTAGGCCTGGAGCAAATTATTGCTTGACAAAACGAAATCACAGGAAGCTGTCTCCTCACAGTCCTGTCCAAAAACTGCAGAAAAAATTGGAAACCATTAACACTATGAGGAAAAGAAAAATTATGAAACCCCAAATATATTTAAGACTTTCTTAACATTTACTTCTGGTGAAATTTTTGCCTAGTTTTTATTCTGTTTTCCCATCCCTGTTCCAATTTTTTAAGTAATAATTTGACAGCCAAAAACATATCTCACCTTCACGTCCTCCTCTCAATGTGATATCTGAGGAGCAGCTGGTCAATGATCTGGACCCCAAAGAGTCTAAGCTTTCAAAGGAATCTTCCCTCTTCTGGTTGCCTGGAGGAGCAGGAAATTCTCCACGGTCAGAACACCAGATATCACCGTAACCACTGTCCCGGCCACTTCTTTTCAGGCAGCTGGAGTCTTCAAGTGCCTAAAAAAATATTTTATAAAAAATAGTAAGCTTGGGCTGGGGTTGTAGCTCAGTGGTAGAATGCTCAACTCACATGTGGAAGGCACTGGAGTCAATCCTCAGCATCACATAAAAATAAAATAAAGTTATTTTAAAAAAAATAGTAAGCTAGTATGAACTTCCAAAAACATAAATGTTTTGCTTCTTTGCTAGATAAGGCAATGTGATTTCCCTATTGAACATAAGAAAAGAGCTGATAAAAATCAGAATATACATCTGTAATTTTATGACCTCTGAAGTATTCCCAGGCCCTGTCTTAAACCTAAGAGTTGCCTTATTGGTGGGAACAGCTAGACATTCACGATGTCTTTGTGATTCCTTTTTTAAACCGCCTTTTATGTATATGATAATGTAGAGCAGAGGCTAAAACACTGCTCTAATGCTTGAATGAGGAAAGAGAAAGAAGGACCCAAGACCCAACATTGGGGTCAGGGATTCTTTTCCGCTATGTGGAAGGCCCTTATTGAAACATGGATCAATACTGTTACCAAAGTTTTGTCTTAGTTATTGCACCTGACTTTTGCCAAGTTGTGCCTTTTCTTCTGGAATTGTAAATAAACACAGTCATAGCACCTGTTTATACTGTGACACAGATATTGTTACAGTGAACATACCAGTGGCTCTCACTGCTGAGCTCACAGCCCCTAGTGAATGTGTGATGGATGGAGAAACCCCTGTACGACCTGCTGATGCTGTCTACCTCTTGGAAAATAAATTTTGAATCCCCCCCCCCAAAAAAAAAAGAATAGACATCTGTAACATTTTCACCCACAACTAATATGATAAGGAAGTATGGGATGTTTAATGTGATGATTAGGAGGCATTATTTAATAAAGTAGTATGATCCATTTAAAAATAAGGAAGAGGGTATAGTTTAATGAACAAAAGTTCATTAAAACAACACTGAAACACTGAAGTCAATGATTATTTACAGTTCTGACAATAAACATGAAAGGAGTCAAAGAGAAAACCAATTCTAATTTAAAAATCCAAATGGAGATAAGTCAGTAAAATTATTCAGTCTATCTCCAGGAAATATTTTGAGTGATTATGGTAAACATAAAAGAATTCATAAAATTCTTTAAGTGCATTCACCACCCTCAACCCAAAATAGCTAAAGGGGGGAAAAAACAAGAACTATGGCTCTACAGTATCACATGCACAAAAAGAGATTTAAAAAAGGAATCACAAGGCTGAATGTTTTCTCTGATAAGTGGATGCTAATTCATAATGGGATGAGTGGAGGAACTCTGGATGGGCTAAAGGGAAGGGAGGGGAGGGGAAAATGGGATAGGAAAGATGATAGAATGAGACTGATATCATTACCCTAGGTACATGTATGATTGCACGAATGATGTGACCCTATTTTGTGTACAACCAGAGAAGTGAAAAATTGTGCTCCATTTGTGTACAATGAGCATTCTGATGTTATATATTAACTGATTTAAATAAATAAATAAATGGTTTAGAACAAATAAATAAATAGGAATCACAAAGACATTGTTAATGTCTAGCTGTGCCCACATCAGAGAATTCATTTATTTTCACCAATAATAAAACCTAGATTTGAGGTACTGGCAGCTAGGTTGTCTCGCTTGCTGAGTCAAGGGAAGCATACTTATTCACAAACATGTAAGACTTATCTCCCAGTCAGGTGTGGTGGTACATGCCATCCCAGAAGCTCAGGAGGCTGAGACAGGAGGACCACAAGTTCAAAGCCTGCCTCAGCAACAGTGAGGTGCTAAGCATCTTAGACCCTGTCTCTAAATAAAATACAAAAAAAGGGCTGGGATGTGGCTCCATGTTCGAGTGCCCCTGAGTTCAATCCCTGGTACGCAACCTTCCCCACAATCCCCAAAAGATTTATCTTCCTTGGAACTAAATTAAACATTGGTTTGGCTCATCTAAGAGATAGAAATATGACAATTATTGTAACCTATAGGTTTGTAAATTATACAGAACCTAATCAAAATAACCATTTTTAATTAACACTTATAAAATTTAATGGTAAAATACAACTGGGTATTTTAAATATGAATTTAACTTAAGTAAAATTTTATAAAGTTCTTAGCATAGTCCTGACACTGCAATCAATGAATACCTAGTAATTACAATTTTTAAATATGGTAAAGGTAATTTTGTCATTATAGTAAAAAAAAAAAAATCAGTGATATTACTTACAGATATTACTTACTAATAGTTTAAAGAACCTAGGAATAACTAACAACCAAATGTAACATACGAATCTTGATTAAATCACAATTCAGATTAAAGAAAAGAGACTATGAAAAACAGGAGACAATTGGGAAATTTAATATGTCCTTAATAATAAATAATGGGGAATATTTATGAGATTCCTTAAATATATACATTGTGGCTATACAGAAAAATATTCTTAGGAGATGCATACTGAATATTTTGGGATGAGATATTTCCGAAATTAAGATGGTTACTTTAAAAACATAGATGGGTGGGTAGATAAGCCAATATAAAAATCTTTAATAATTGAGTCAGATGATGATTACCTGGGCATTTGTCGTATTATTTTTTTCAACATAAAAAAGGTGAAAATGTATAAAAGAATAATTAGCAGGTGGCTCAGGCATGTTTTTGACTAATAATAGAACGATGAATTTCTGGATCAAATGTTTGACAAGTGTTTAAAACGCCAATAAGGGTCTAGTCGATTTAAGAGAGATTTCATAAGCTTTAGATATCAGGCATCCTGGCATGAGTTCCCATCCTGTCATGAAAACGCCAGCACCTACCTTATACCCTGTCCCCAAGAAGATGGGGAAATGAGGCCTAGTGCCGGTACCAGAATGTTTCACAAAATATGAGAGTAACCACTGTAAAATAAATCTTCAGATCCATCAAGGTCTTTGTTTGGCTGTACTGAGCATTCTACCCACTGAGTTCTACCCCCAGCGTTTTTTTTTTTTTTTTCCCCTTGAGATAAGGTCTCATTAAGTTGCCCAGGCTGGCTCTGAACTTGCAATCCTTCTGCTTCAGCCTCCTGAGTAACTGGGATTACAGGCACACACCAGCAAGCATGCCTTCATCAGTTTTTTTTTTTTTTTTAAAACACATATACTTTGAAACCTAAGAGCTAACATATGGCAAGATGAAATTTAACATCATAAAGTTAAAGCTATTGATGATGGGCTACCACAGTTATAAGACAACCTGAGTATGACCCTGGAGTTTGGTTGTTTTTTTTTAAACCATTTTGTTTGTTTCTTTGTTTTTGTGGTACTGGCGATTGAACTCATGGCTTGGTTCTAAGCAGGCAATATGTCATTGAGCTACATTCCCAGCCCTTGAAGCTTGGTTTTTGAGGATTTCACCCTGACAAGTCCCCAAAATGAGTCACCTTCAGTTATGACACTAGCACAAACTACACCAACTATTTTTTAATTGATACAATGGACTGGCCTTAAACACTATCTAGATGGAACAGAATGAATGTAAAACAGGTGACATGTTCACATGCCTCTCATGCCTATTCCCACTTAGTAAGAGTGGAATAAGAGAACCACAGCTATCTACCAAAACTTTTTTGCCCACTCTGACAGACACTGGTAACAGGAAACAGCATTTAATGAAGCATTCCTAGCATAAACACTATATTAATATTATTCAACCTGAGTCAGATTGTCATAAAAAGTTAAAGAGCATTACTTCATGGGCCGAAGTTCCACGTCATTTTTAATTGAAAGTTTCCTTAGCTGAAATAATTATAAAGCAAGGCTCTCCCTGTGCCCAAAGCCCCTTACAATTTCTCCACTATCCCAGACAGCTGGATTATTTGCTATGGGAGTATTCGCAACCCTCTTACAACAGGTATACATGATAATATCTCACCCTGAATTAACTGATACAAGGAATTTGAGTGAAGTGCTATCAACTCTTTATAATAAGAAGAAAAAACATAAAACCCCCAAATTTTTGACTCTGTAAATTCCATTTCTCTCTAATATATGTGGCTGAACTCAGGCAAAATCATTTTTTAAAGATAAGGAGAAATGTAGGGAAAGGTGAGTATTTTTATCCTGACCCAAAATTTCTATCTTCCAATCATAACTAATATTTATTATGTTTTTTTTACAAAGTGTCAGAGACTAATTTTAAAAATGCCTTACTAACAGAGCATCATTTAATCATCAGAAAAACCCCTAAAGCATCTACTCTTAATGTTTTATTTATTTTGACTACATATTTTCTTCTGACCCCTGTCAGTTCCCCTAAATAAATATCCCACAAAGAAATTAGTTTTCCACTTGGACCTTTTATAAATGAAGACTTGGAAGAACAACTGTCAGTCTTGGCACTTGATTCTTCTCAAACAAACCTTAAACATTCAAAAGGCTGTCACACAGGTTCCCGGATATGAAGGAATAGAAATGTGTGTAAAACCAAGGATTCTAACGTTAAAACCTTATCAAGTTTCACTTAGCATTCACTACTGTTTTGGAAATAAAGGCAGTATGGTGATACTGGAATACGGACATTAATGATAATTAATTGCCCAAGAATACATTAATATAAAGAAATTTACTTCCGTTAATTTTAATAGTCCTGGGAATGCCTTTCTGCTGCAGACTGAATTCATAATGAGCATAGAAATAAGTCATACAATATGTAAGAAAGAAAGTAAATGTGCATGTCATCAAACTACCTAAAATTAAGAGAGAAATTTATGCCTCAAAAAGTGCTCTGGAATAGACTCACTGACTCTTGGTGGTAGTACATAAAGCCAGCAAAGTCTAACAATCCTTTCTACTCAGCCCAGTCTAGAGCAAACACATCCCACCATTATTTGTCAGAGGGGAGGAAGAGAAGCAAAAGAAAGGAGGAGGAGGAGAAAGTGATAGTATTAGCTGTAGCAGTCATTTTATACAGATGTAGTTTCCTTACCTTAGTCAGAGCTTGTCCTAAAAGCTTCTCGAATGCTTTCAAATTAAGATAGGGACCACTGTAGTAGGGGTTATTTTGTGTTTTTCTTCCCAGCCAGTACAATGTTATCAAAACCTTTGAAAAAAAATTTCATGAACAAATCAGTCTATTTAGTAAGCTCAATTCAGGTGAATACTCAAGATAAAGGATAGCTCATATTACTCTATGGTTGAAAGTCCAACTCCCTTAAATTTATGGGAAGGGAAAGGTTCATTGAAAATCTTAATTATAGTGTGGCACAGTGATGCATGCCTGTAATACCGGTGGCTCAGAAGGCTGAGGCAGGAGGATCATGATTTCAAAGCCAGCCTTAGCAAACACTGAGGTGCTAAACAACTCAGTGAGACCCTGGCTCTAAATAAAATATAAAATAGAGCTGGGGATGTGGCTCCATGGTCAAGTGCCCAAGAGTTCAATCCCCATAACAAAAAAAAAAAAAAAAAATCTTAATTATTATTGCTAGATTATAAAAGGAAACCATAAGAAACTTTTAAATCCATCAATATTTTTTTCAGCAGCTACAGAATGAACACCTAAAATCAATAATTTTCAGCTTCCGTGATGAGACTATGAAGCTTTTTAAAAACAAAGCTGCCACTTTAGACATTCTTCTATGCAGAATATTAAGGACATTATAAGTCTACACTGAACACAGCATCCTTAAACATTATGTATTCCCCTAAAGTCTGTTATGACGGTTTCCTACTTGCTCCCCTAAAAAAATTATAAAATGGGTCTGCCGTTACCACATTAGTAAATTTTAATAACTAGCTTCCAAAATCTAGCCTACTCTCTTATACTATGAAGTCAGAGAATATAAGTTCTAACCATGTACTGCAATACATATATTTAGTTATATTTACAGTTTATGACTGGTGGTTTCCATGTAAAATTTAATTGGAAAAAGGATGCAGAGTATTTTTTAGTTCTATTACTTCCCTAAGGATGATCAAAGTAAAAACTATAATGCTTCATTAAATATATCTTACATTTTTCAATCTTCTATCAGTCTCTTCTTGTCTGTAAAGAAAAATAAAGTATCTATTAAGTAATATCCATGAACCTTAAATTAATTATAACTAGAAATTCATTTTTATTCTTAAGTTCTTAAGAATTTTATTCTTAAGTTCTAAGAATATTAATATCACCTGGTAATTCAGAAATCTTAACAGCACATATTACACATGAGAAAATTTTTCCATGTTTATTGATTTTACTAAATATAACAGTTTTCTATAGAAAGTAATTTTTCTTCATTTTACCCAGTATGGTCTTATTTTTAAAATGTTATTTAGATTTTTGCATTCTAATTTTAAACAATATTTAAATCCAATGGCGGGGGGATCGATGTGTGCTTAGGACAGGAAAATTGGGAAATAAAGAAAAAAAAAAATCTTAGGAAGATGGAGCAAGGGGAAAAAGCAGGCACATGCTGACATTTCTCCTTCACTGTCCACAAGGTTTTGCACTCAAGTTCCCCAGAGTAAATGGCTCAGAGACCATGACCCTAAACATGCTGAAAGTCCAGTTTAGAAAACGGCTATGAACCTCCTCCTGAAAAAAGTCACTAAGAATCATGGGAGTTTGGCTCACCTGTAGGACATGATATTTAAGGGAGAAGTTAAAAGGAAGTAGAATATCACCTCAATGTGGAAGCAGCAGCGATAAACTATGAACAAAGAGTAGGGTCACCCTAAAAGAATGGGCTTTGTGTCAGACACACACAGGATCAATGTGAATTCAGAGACCACAGAAGCCTGAACTAGATGGCCTCTAAAATGGCTTTTCAGCCAAACTACAAGTGATACAACTATAAAATAAAAATACAATTATAAAATAAAATACATTGATAATTGTATACAATTATCAATATGTTTGTAGAAGACATATAACGTGCATTCACAAATATATACACAGAGGGGAAAAAAAAGGTAAGTTTGGAGTGCACAGAGACAATTATTTAACTTTATCTTTGAAAGAATAAGTGAGGCAACTGTGATTATTTCCTTTCACAGAACAATCATATCTTAAGAATAATATACATCTCCCACCCAAGCCCAAAAAGCATCTCAACAAAAAATTAATTTTCTCATATAAATACAAACTGGTACAACTATTCACACTCTTAACCCGCTTGGTGATATCTATTTCAGCTAAACACACTGACATTTCACAACCTCGTAATTCCATTTCTAGGTAATTCCATTTCTACAACAAATCCTCTACTAATTTATCAAAAGTCATATACAAGAATGTTTAGAGCAGCATTATATTCAACAGCAAAAACTGGAGAATTCGCTCTTTAAGAGAGCAAGGATTAAGGAATACCCACACAATGAGAACAAACAATCTCCAAACTATTTTCAAGCAATTGGTACAATCTCACAAACAACAGGAAGTTAAAAAAAAAAAAAGTCAAGCACAAAAACCATACAGATTATATGAATGAAACAATATAAAATAAAAACCAGGCAAAACAAAGATATGCTATTAGAAGACCAGATAGTGATTATCCTTGTGGGAGAGAGTGGCAGAAGTCATTGGCAGAGTGTGGGGCTATCAGAATGCTAAAAATTTGTAGTTTGCTCTAAAAGCTGGCTACCTATGTGTGTTCAGTTTCTAAATAAACATGTGAATTGTACATTTCCATATGTATACTTTTCTGTATATATATCTACTTCAAAAAAAGTAAATAAATAGAACAAATTTCTTGGCTTGAATACTCACACTGTCTCTTGAGTAAAAAGAAAATCATCTTGTAAAAATTAATAGCAGTTCATTTTGGAAGTAGTTAGTGGAGAAAGTCACAAGAAACTGACAATAAAATAACAGTTATAAACTCATACCCCTTACTAGATTAATGACTAACACACCCAACTCAAATATTAAATTATCCAAAACATGAAAGAACCATCAAAACACAGTACAAAAATGTACTAATCCAAAAGTTGCCCCACTTTTATCATAAGTATATCAGAGTAGAAGAAGCAAAAAGCCCTCTTAAACCCCTGACCTCCTTTGCACAGCCCTCAATAAAAGTTTCCAATCCAACAATCTCATCTGCTTAGAGCTATTGGTCATGACACAGCAAGCACTGCAAGTACTGCAAGTACAGGGTACTGCTTATTGTGTTATAGACACTCACTATAGCAGTGACTTTGGCATTATTGCCCTCATTCACTTTACCTTCCTTCTAAATACAGGAATTTACAACATACTCTTGAACACAGTGATACACAGGCCAACCAAATTAGTGCCCTATCACTGAAATGTAATGCCAGGAATTCAAGTAGTCAATGATTTGCTGGAATAAAGAGAGTTCACACTGACACACAACAAATACCCCACTGCATGATATCAGGAATCAGGAGACTCCTTTGCCTGGGATAACCCCGAGGCACAGCCCCAAGGCCTTTTAAATAGAACAAGTGTGAGGGTGGAGAAGCTTAGGGTTAACAAGACAATGTGAGTCAGTCATATTTACTGCACAACCAATCCATCAGAACCAAAAATGAGGTAGTCCTATCATCAGAGTAATTCTCCCATAGCAAATGCATCCATAGTTTACACTGATTAGTACTAGGTTTAAAGAGCAAGGGGTTTAGAGTCAGATCTGGGTCTCTCTGGCTATACCTGAGTTATTTACTTGACTCTCAAAGACTAAGTTTCCTTCTGGATAAACTGGGGCTAATGCCCCCTATTTCAATAGCTAAGGAGTACTTAGTAGAATCCCTAGCCTCCCAAGGAAGAGTTCATCAAGAAACAGTTCTCAGAATTGACAGTCAAGGCTCTCTTATTCCCACTCTGCATATAGAGCCTCCTAGTGAAGTCAAGTAGGACCCTGGTATTTAAATTCCAACTTGCCTGCCCTATTCCCATTTTCACCCTGACTTTCCCTGCCCCAACCTTGGTATTTACAACCATCTACTATTCGCATTTATTTTTTATCTTTCTCTCTTCCAAACAGAATCCAAAAAGTTTGTGTGGTTTTGTTCACTGCTATCTCCCATGTACCTTAAAACAAGGTATGCCCACTTGAGAAGGAATAAAAATATTTGTTTAAAAGTGCCTAGCACAGTTCATGGCACAAAAGTTCAGGTTAAAAGTGATAGAATAGTTGAGTAATATTTAAAATAATATTCAAAAATGACTACCTTGAATATATTGAAAGCCTTTAGTCTATGCTTGCATCATACATTAACTTTTTTTTTTTTTAGATTTTTTATTATGTTTTTTTAGTTGTAGTTGGACACAATATATCAAACCCAGGGCCTTACAACCCCAGCCCAACTTTTTAATACTATACTTAATATTTACAAAATAGCAAATATAGCGTGTATATATATATATAATATATATATATTATAACAGAATATATATATATATATTCTGTTAATGGAATAGTTCTGGCAATCCTTTTGCTATCTGACAAAGGTCCAGAAGACATGTCTATCACAGACCTCTGACCTTTGTGCTTTAACCAGCTGCCACGTATCCTAACAGCTAATTGGTAAACTTAAGATCACGAAACTCTGGGTAGAATCCTCCTTCTTAACTCTAAGATTTTTAAATCAATCAACAAAGGACTAAGGAAATAGTCTGAGTAGATGCTCTGACTCTCCCCAGAGATGCTATGCTGGGTCCTGCCATCAGGAGGCAGCTCAGCTAAGAGGGCTCTGAGTTCAGCTCTCCTGCAGGTGAAATCTGGATCCAGTCTTGCTAGCTTAGTTTTCCAAAAGCTCAACATCCAAGAACCTGGTCACATCACTTAACTCTGTCCTCAAAGCCACACCTGTAAAACAGGAGCAGTGCTGGCCTCATTGAGTTTCAACAAAAGATTTTAAAAGTATTTGACCTAGACAGAAAAAATAAATAATTCATTTCACAACTACCCGCTAATTATACATTTAAGTCAAACCACTGGGGGGAAAGGGCAGTGTCAGGAGGTCAATTTCTCCCCTACATGTAATATTTTTCCCTTAGAAGAGACATTTCTGAGGAACAATTTGTGACACTCTTCCATGTTATATTTTCCTTGTTCTCTTGCCATTGAAGGCTTTAATCAAGAATAAGAAAATATTTCTAGAATAAGGTCAAGCAAAGGGCAAAGCAAACTGACATGGTATGGCTATCATTTTCTCAACATTGATGTTAGCACCAAACCAGCCTCCCCACCCATCCTTGGTCTACAGTCTGACTTGACCAAGGACCCTTTAAGTTTTCCAAAAGTCCAACATCTGAGGAAAAAATATATGTATCTGCACATCCAAAAAGCTATCCCTCATATCTGACAGCACAGTTTGAGAACAAAGTGTTAATAGGTAAGATTAACATTTACCAGTATGTGCCAGCCAGCTGTGTTCTAAGGTTGCACTAAAAATATTTCCAAAAATCTTCAAAGAGCTAACTCTGGATCCACACTCATGCCACTGCCACAGCCTTTCCAGCAGTTTCCTTGGGGGCTGTAGAGACACATGGCTCTTTTCTCAGAGCCAATCACGGCCTGGGAAAGGCCAAGCATTTAAGTGTTCATATATGTTACTTCAAGCCACTCACAGCCAACCTAGCACATCAAGAGCCAGAAGTGACAGGAAAAATGTTTCTCCAAAAAGAGTAAAGCTTCAGAGGATCTGACATGAAATCCCAGTCTCTGTTTCTCTCCCGTGTCTCAGTATGTCTTTTCCAGGGTAGTACCACCTTTGTCATTTGCAACATTGAAAGACCAATCTTCCCAGGCTCTGCCACAATATCACAAATCCCTAGGAGTTCAATTCCCCATGCTCTAAAATCATCTTTTCTCCCCATATTCCAACCCCTTCACTGTGCAAGCCAAATTGATCAAGATCAAATATAGTAAATAAGCCAACCCCCCCCCAAAAAAGGCCAAATGTTCTCTCTGATATGTGGATGCTGAAACAATAAGGGGAAGGGAGAATAGAAGTTCATTGGATTAGACAAAGGAGAATGAAAGGAAGGGACAGGGGATTGGAATAGGAAAGACAGTAGAAGGAACTGGACAT